CTGTGCCTTATTCAACCCAAACGGTGGCTGCTGCTCACCAGGGGTGGAGGACGGCGCGGGAAGAGGCTCTTGCTCGCCGCGGTATTTCTGGTGGGGTTTGGTTGGTTGGGGAGGTGGTTTTGCTTCTCTTCGAGTTGGTTTTTTTTTATTATTATTAATTATTATTATTATGTTGTTGTTGTTGGGACCATCTAAAATGTATCAAGAAGAGGGGCTTTGCAAAGCCCTAGGAAATGTATTTCCAGTCCTGCCTTGGCCTGGGGCTTAGGAAGAGGAACCTGCTGCAGTCTTACCTGCCGCTCCGTCTGCGTGTCTGTATGTATGTGTGTATATAATATACCCTCGCTGTGCCCGACCCCAGCTATTATATAGATACATATATACAACCGCCCATTTCTGCAGCTCCTGGGGGTTCCTGCTGTCCTGCCGTCTCACTGCTGGGACCTCTGGAGCGGCGAGTTTGGGCCTGGCTCTGTCTTGTCTTTCATCCCCGTCTTTTTTTTTTGTTGTTCCCTTTCCTGCTCCTCACATTGGGACCTGGTACCCGCTCCAGGTGGCACGGGGATGCTTGGTGACATCCCCCCCTTTCCTCGTCTTGTCTTCCCCATCCTCATCTCCTGCTGGGAGAGGGCAGCTCAGCTCCCAGAGGAGGAGCTGAAGAATTTTGGCCGTGGAGGGTGAGGACTTTGCTGGCGTCCCCTGCCCCACGGGGCTCTAGGTACGAAGTGATGGGGACAGCCGGGGACTGACCGGCTCTCCGGGTTTCCCGGCTTTCACAACTCCTGGGCTGGAAAAGCGCTGACCATAAAAAGAAAATTAAAAAAAAAAAAACAAAGAAAAAGAGAAAAAAGAGAAGTCAAAACCTGGGCTGCCCTGGCCTCTGTGCCCTGCCACCGCCCCAGCCCCCTGCCCCTCTGCTGCTGGGGCAGCTGGGACCAGCAGCGCCTGGGCCTCAGTAACTTTATACTGTAATAAGCTCTTTGAATGTGTATATTCTTATTTTTTTATAATCTCGGGGGTGGGTGGGGAGGGATTTTTTGTTGGTTTTGGTTTTGGTTTTTTTTTTTTGTATTTAACATTAACTTGATCCAAGCCAGAGCCAGAAGTATTTGTAAATGTTCCTATTTTGCTCTCGTTCAGAGAAACTCTTCTGTTGTTGTTACTTTTGGGGAGGGTTGGCTTGTTTTTTTATTTGTATCACTATACAAATATACTACCAGTGACCGGTCCTCTTGGCTCTCATGGTAGAGTTGGCCTGGAGCAGGAGAGTGAGGGAATTTAGGGCATCACACACCCTGCGATCCCCAAAAGCAAGCTGGCCCCGTCTCTGGGGACCTCCTGCAGCCCCCCAGCACTTTCTGGGGGGGCTGAGCCAGCAGCCATTGGAGCTGGCCAGCTCCTGGGCTGGGTGAGGCCCCACTGGAGATAACCAGGCTGCGGGCAGCTTTCCTGGGCGGGCAGGATAACGGCAGGAGGGAAGGCAGCCCCTGTGCTGTACACAGCGCCCTTTGCTGGGGGTGGGACAAGCCCCAGAACCTTTGGCTGCGAGTGATCCCAGTCCTGGAGTGGCAGCCGGGGCCTGGAGCTTCAAGATGAGGAGAAAAAGAGGTGGTGGGTGGAAGTCGAGCCCTGGAGCCAGCGGGCTGCAGAGCAGCGGGCCCTGGCGAGGAGACACCAGCGGGTGGGAAAAGCAGCACCTGGAGTCTGGAAAAGCCAAGGAGGCCGGTGCCTTTCTGGGACTGGCGCCGGGGGAAGCTTTACCCCACGCTTCAGGCAGGGATAGGCTTGACCGTGCCAAACAAAGGTGTGTAGTGGCTGGATGGAGGGGAACGGGAGGCAGCCAGGTGTCCACCTCCACGGGATGCGTGCTTTGAGTATCCCCAGAGCTGTGCATGTTCTGCCTGCAGAGCAATTTTGGACTTTAAACTTGGGGCATGGGGATTTTTAACCAGTTTGGTGGCTTTCAACAAGAAGCCTGCAGCAGCTCCCTTCAAGGAGGGGTGGAGATCCCACCTGTGCTGGTGGAGGAAAGGGTTGTAAGCATTTTCCATGGGAAAACAACCCAAATACTCATCTCCCTTTACTGTTTCCAGGGCTGCCTTTCTTGTCAAAGCCGGTTTTGATCCCTCCACTGCTCTTCCTCCTGCTTGGGAATTAGAGCTGAAAAAGGGGAAAGCAGCTAATAATAATAAAACCAAACCAAACACAAGAGACCGACCTTGTTGGTGTGAAGATGCTTGAAATAGGTGTTTTAATAGAAGTCAGAGCCCGCGTGTTTTTACATTTCCCCAGGCCTGATGGTGGCTAATCCCTGGGCTCCTCCAGCCTTGCTCCCAGGGCAGACGCC